ACCTAGAATGCTTTCATTTGTCTTTCTGGTAGTCCATGGTATCCATAAAGCTCTCCTCAAACACCACATTGTGGTGACAAAGACAGAGATGGGGGGGCATGGGTTTGAGATTGCATGTAGGGAATGAAAAGCAACCAGAAAGATGGATCTTCTCATTGACCATGGCATAGAAATATACTGATCTACTATTCACTAGGCAACCTGCACTTGTAATTAGGGTTAGGTTTGTTTTAAGCGATTGAGCCATGGCTTAGTAGTTTTTCATGGCTGAAAGACTGATTGCTGAAAACTGCCTTACGCTACCAGCCAGTAAGACATCCCAATCTTAAGAGCTTTAGTTACTCCACTTATGGAAGCTCTTCTTTCAGCCTCTGAGAGCAGCTGCCACCTATATAAACAAGCTCAAGAGAGGATTGTTGTAAGCCTCCTTCTAGCCTTTGTGCATTAGCAGGATAAGGGAGAGATGCCCCGAGGGAGCTGAACAGAGTGTTAAAAGGAAATATATAGATGGTTCAATGAAACAATATTATGCATGTGAATTCTAACAACAGCTTGTCATGGTTGACTCTTCTAAGGTGGGAACTGAATGAAGATTACTGTGCCAAAGTGCGACAGACCTCACCCTACAACAAGATTTCCCGACTTCTTAGCCTCATCGACATGACCGTGCTTGATTTCCTAATGGGTAAGCGTGGCTGTTCTGTCTTGCAAGTTGTGTTACGTTTAGAGAAGGGAAAAGAGAACATGTGCTTTGCATGCCGAAAGACAACATTCAGTCCTTGGGATCTCTCGATAAAAGGGTGTGGTAGCAGGTGATGGGAGAGGGACCTGCCTGAGACTCTGATGTGCTGCCATGAGTCCCAACAGGCAGTATTGGGCTAGAGCTAGACCAACAGGAGAATATATAGAAGAGCCCCGACAGATCAAGCTCGTGGCCTCTGTAATCCCCAATTCTGTTCACACAGTAGCTGATCAGTGGCTCAGGAGGGCAACAGCACCCACTCTCATCCATGCCCCAGAAAATGGTAGATTGAGACATGGATCCTGGGGGAAGTATTCGTTTACCTTGACTAGTAGGCATCAATAGCACCCCCTTCCATTAATCTATGGAATCTACTGAATACCCTTTAAAAATTATTCAGTTGCCAATCCATACCTTCTGCTTCCATCAGCTAGAGAGACTTTGGCTCAGTGCTTTTATTCTTAGAACACATTTCTCAGTGACAACAGAGAGGAGCAAAATAGCTCTGTGTGTGCACACCTGCCCCCTGTTCATCAGCTTCCGCAGAACAGACCCCTTTGGGCTTTGTAGTGTGTTATTGTAAGTTATAAGAAAACAACACCTAATCTGATAGTGTTTTATTTCCCGTTGTCTTTTGTTCTCATCTGGCTCTCAATATGGCCCAACTGTCCGGTATATCGTAACCCACGGGGCTATCTTCTTGCACTTTTCTCAGTCCATTTTCGCACCTTCGGTGAAGCAAATTATTGGCTGTGAGGATGTACCACAGTCAACCAGTTGCAGGTTTTGGAGCATGAGAAGGAAAAGGGCCTGTCCCTTCCATCCCTTTGCAGACACATGCACTCCCCTATTGCCAAAAGGCCTCTCTAAAGGTCCAGGAGACACTCCTAAATAAAACAGGATGTCACTTAAGTGCTTGTAGAAGACAATGGGGAGGCTTGACAAACCTCCTTAAGCAAATCTACCTTAGGATACAAAGCTTAGTCATTGCTGCCATTTCTTTCTTTTTAATTTTTGAAAACTGGAAAGCAGCCGAACAAAATAAATGGCAGATTGTGAGGGACAGGTTGCAGATGTTAACTTGAAGCCCACAACGAGGAAGCACAATGGAGTCATTGTTTTGCTGAAGTGTGCAGAGTGTAGGAATGGTCACCCTTGGTGGGTCATCTAAGACCATAGCAATCGATATCCATGAAATTTTATTCATAACATCTTTTTTTTTCTTTTAAGTTCAGTCTTGTATAAAATTGCTGAGCTGGGCAATGTATCTCCTTCTCCAATGTAAATAAAATTCCCTCAAGGTTTTGTTTTTTTTCTTTAGGTTTAAAAAAAAAATCCACACGCCTCCCCTTTCAGAGTTAAGGGCCTGTTCAGGCATTTTACACTCTAACATGTATAACAAAGCTTTGACAGCTGTTTGCCTCAGGAAAGCAGCTTTGGAAGCCAGCAGAGCAAAGACACAGCAAGAAGAGGGGTGTTTAACAAGTGTTTGGAATGCCAGACTGTTCTAAACCCCCTTCTCAAAGCTCATTTTCCTTTAAAAAAAACTCTTCAGGTTTGTTATATATGTCTGCATTCAACATTGAGTAAGTTTCACTGAAATCAGTGGGGCTTGCTTTCAAATACACATTTAAAGTATAACATTGTACAAATCGTTTCACGTTGTGCCTCGTTTGATTTTACACTGGTTGTATCGTTCTAATTATTATAATGCAGCACTTTAATTATGTTTTCCTCTTGGGTTTTGATACCTACTCAAGTCATTGTTGGAAAAACATAGGTTAGAATTGGAAATGCTTAATTATAGTTATTAATAACTATACAAGGATCTTATAATTGTCCTATTTTGTATCTTTTGCTAGAAATGTGACTCATTATTATGGTTTCCTTAGTTAACATTATGAACTGAGTTCCACACTTCTTTTGCCTTTTCCCTACCTGCTTCCCTATAGACATTTTCAGAATGTAAGAAAGGAAACTCGCAACAAAAGCTGCTCTTTAAGATTCATTCACACAAACACACCATTATTCAATATTCTTCAGGGTATTTTGCAGCTTCTGCCAGCAAGTATGTCTCACCATGCCCTCTAGTGGGCACACGGTATTATAGTATAAACAAAAGACAAAGCATAGGCACACTGCCGTAGTCCCAGAGAGAGAAAAAAATCCAACTCCATTACCAGGCAGCATGTTTATTAGGAGAAACCAAATAAGTACAAAACTGGGGACAGTCCATATACCAGATGTACTAAGAACTGCTTTTTAAAAGGTATTTTGAGTTTAGCTGCAGAGCATATTCCTCATTTTAATTGCCAGAAACAAATACATAAATATAACAGCAGATTCTGAATAACAGTACTGTACAGTCCATCTCCTTCTAGCTCTACAAAGTGATCTTGGTATTCCACAGAGCTTGGGAGATTTCTCCTTGTGCAGAGGTGCTATTTCTGCTGCTGCTGCTATTGCTGTGATTTCAGAGCACAGTTAATTAGTTGAATGAGAATTTGTCTATGTGGATAAAGAAGGAAGAATATTAATGGTGGAAACCATAATAAATGGTGGAAACCATAATAAACCAGGTGAAAAAAACACTATTTGATATTAATGGTGGAAACCATAATAAACCAGGGGAAAAACACTAATCATGGCAATCTATGCAACCAATAATAACCTGGGGAACTTTTATAAGAAACATCTATGCAACCAATAATAACCTGGGGAACGTTTATAAGAAACTACAGTATACATATATCCAAATAGCAAAAAGGAACCCCAATATGTTTGTCCCTTAGTGAGGGAGAGTCTGCCACCTTCCAAGCTAGTCTGTTCCACTGTTGAACAGCTTGTATTGCCAGGAAGTTCCTCCTATCATTTTGCTGAACTGTCCTTTATGGTAAATACATCCCATAGAATTGTAAAGTTGGAAGGGGCCTGAGGGTCATCTAGTCTGACCTCTGTCCCAATGTTCACATGGCTGCCATGTAATCTCTTTCATTGTTAGGAAGCTGTGGCAGTTGTGGGACAGAAGTAGGAGAAGTTTTAATTTCTGAAAAATTATCCAGGCTGATGAGGATAGGCAGCATAACTTCCATGTCCTGGTTTTCAGTCATAGTGTCCAATGAGGCTTACTCTCTCGTATGCCTGTTCATTATTGCAGCCAGAAACATCATTTCAGTGACTCTAAGACTTTCTTTCTTGCCCAGCAAATTAGTGCTAGAATGGAGAGTAACACCTACTCTCATCAACGCAACATCGGAGATCTGAAACTGTTCGTAGAGAAGTTATAAAGACCTTGGAAATTAAGCCTAATTTCCTCCCAAGCACTCCTGAACTATCTGAGCACAAACGTGAAACCAAAATGTCCTACTATTCGTTGGTTAGTGGGAATAGCTTGAAAGCAAATAGTTCAAGCAGAAGTAATGATGAAATATTAAACGGAGCAAAAGTAATTGTGAAGAAAGAAAGAACAAGTCAGCCGAAAGGGCTGGCCATGATAACAAAAGAATGAAGGGGTGAAGTCTGTCCGGTTTACGTAACTTGTTAAATTGTGGCTAGAAACCAAATGGTGGGGCAATTAGGTTTTTTTCAAAGAGGAGAATTCTCTCAGCCGTACATGGGAAGGATAAATAGTAAAAAAAAAAAACTGATGAAAGAGAAAGAGTGAGGGTGAGAGTGGCAAGACTGCCAGAGTAGAAGGATGGGTGGAAAATAATTATTATTTTATAGGACAGAGCTTGGAAACCTACCTCTTAAAACATAGTTAACTAGGCAGCATATTACAAAAGCTATTAAATGGTGCCCATCACCATTGCAGTTTTTAAAATTAACTTGTTACATTGCTCCTAGAATTGCTCCTTTTTTGTTCCTTGAAACCATTAGAATGAATAAGGCCATGGCCTAATAAAACTAAAAAGAATCCATGCAGAATGCTTCTAACAATTTCTCAAAATACTCTTTAAAAACAACTTTAAATAGTAACTAGACAACACGACAATAAAAAAAATGTAAATCCTTTATCTCCACAGTATTTTTAACGCACCTGGCTGTGCTGGCTAGAAGATTCTGCAAGTGGTAGACCAAAGAAAAACAAGAACAATAATTTTTCCAAGCTTCAGACTGACCCCTTTCCATGTAGCACAGAAATATGTTCTCTCCTTCTCCTTTCTGTATTTTTGTGTCACATCTTATGAAAACTTTTAAAGACTCAAAAGCTTGCTCACTTTTAATTGGCCCCGTGGTTTCTTTTTGATATTGTCCATATAATCAGTTCCTGATGTGTCTTGTTTGGTCTTGAAATGGGTTGGATATTTTGCCGCAAGGTCCTTCAGACTAGGGTCCTCGAGAGTAGTCTTCTTAAGCCCAAGGTTGGGGACCACTGCTTTAGGGTCCTCGAGAGTAGTCTTCTTACTCTGCTGCCTCATCACAGTCTGCCTTCTTCTCTCAATTCCTTCTCCATCTGCAGGAAACATGGATCGCCATCATTATGAGACCTTTAAGAAGTTTGGCAATGACACTTTCTTCCTCCATCTGGATAATGGTCGAGGGTGAGAGTGCAATGTGTTCTCCTATGGGTCTGCAAGAAACTATTGGAAGCTTGTTCGCATCAACCATCTGTGTCTTGGAAGGAACAACAAGGCCAGGCATGGGAAACTTGTGGCCCTCCAGATGTGAATGGACTGCAGTTTTCTTGATTTTCACTAGTGGCTAATGCTAAAAGGAGTTGTGGTCTGACAGCATCTGGAGCACCACAGGTTGCTCACTGTTGCGCTGAAGGGTATCCAGCTAGAAGGCAATCCTGAGGTCTGACAGCATCTGGAGCACCACAGGTTGCTCACTGTTGCGCTGAAGGGTATCCAGCTAAAAGGCATTCCTGAATTTATCTATCTATTTGTCTATCTGTCTATCTGTCTACCTACTTACCTACCTACTGGAACTTGGAAATGTGAAAGACATACTGTAAGGAACAGCCAAATCCAAAATTATTATGTGATTGGATTCCTCTCTGAGGCCCCTGCACGTCTTATTTGCATATGCCAACGTTGTTTTAATAAGTGAAGCACAAAGCATAACTAATGGCATCAGCTACAAGAGCCTAAAGAAGGATGGAATGCAAATCAGTTTGGCACT